AACAAGTGATATATATATATATATATATATATATATATATATATATATATTACCATTTCTAGTATCTTCATGTGTTCAGACTGTTTTGAAAGTACAACTTTTAGACGGACAGACAGACAGACGAATACAACACAGAACTTCGTAGGTATGTAGATCAGTTCAGGTTGCTATACAGCGTTAGCACAGAGACGAAACTTTCAGTTCAAAACACATAGTGGTAGAGATAGTAGAATTATTAGCAGTAATGGAGAAGATTAGGGTTTGAAGATATGATTTGAGAAGTATAATTCAGTGAGATAAATTTAGAAAAAGAGAAAGATAGAGATGATGAGGAATTCGGAAGGTTAGAATTAGAGAGGACACAAATAGTAGATGCAGTTGCGCTATTACAAACGATTTTGAACTATATCATTCAAGGTCTCTAAACATCGAATACTATCGTCTCGTGGATCCTGACCAGGTAGTCTATATCTATCAACATGACTCAGTCCACTTGTCAGTGGATTCATGGATTTCTTCCATGTTTTGGTTTGGCTGCCCCTAGCTTTCTTCCAACCTATTCCTACACTACAAAACATAGCTCGTCGAGGCAGTTGGTAGTTGGGTATACACAACACATGTCCCAACCACTTCAACTGATGAAGTTTCACTACTGCGTCTATTAACCTGCCATTGTTACCTAGTACTCGTATCCTAACGACAGGATTACTTATACGGTTGTCCCAGGATACAGGAGCAATGCTTCGAAGAAACCTACGAATATTCTTACTCTGACTAGCCATATTTCATAGCAATATATTAGGACGCAGCGTACTACTGCACAGTACACTCGTCCTTTGGTTAGCTTGCCTTGTGGTTTAGTTGGGTGATTTCCTCAATGTTTTTCATATACACCTCCAGTGCTCTTCTCTAATATCTTCGGCAACTGGAATCTACTTCGTTCTCTCCCACAGTAGGTTGTTACTGATGGTGTCAGCCCAACTGATCTGGAGTATCCTGTGTAGATAATTGTGAATAAACGCCTGTACCTTCAAGGTGATGTTTTTCTTGGTTCTGTAAGTTACCTGTCCATACAATGGAACAACTGTCTTGACATTTTTCATTGAAAATTCTGACGTCGATGTTGGTTGACAGGCAGTTGTTTCGATAACTATCGTCTCGTAGACCCCAATCAGGTAGTCCGTATCTACCAACATGACTCAGTCCACTTGTCAGTGACTTCATGGTTTGGCCCACCGTAGCCTTCTCCCAACCTATCTCTACATCACAAAACGTCGCTCGTCGAGGCAGTCAGTGGTTGGGCATTCGTGATACATGTCCAAACCAACTCAACTGATGAGCATTCACTAATTCGTCAACTGACCTACCATCCATATCTAATACCCTTTTCCTAACAACAGTATTTCTTACTCAATGGACCCAGGATACAAGGGCAATGCTTCAAACACACCTATGATCGAATACTAATAACCTACAAATATCCTCTACTCTTAGTGGCCATGTTTCGCACCCATAGAGTAGGATGGAGTGAACAGCTACACAATAAACCTATCCTTTGATTGATAGATGGATATCTCGCCTACGCAATTAATGACACAAGTTGGCAAAAGTCAGTCAAGCCTTCTGTATCCGTGCTGAGATTTCGCCACACACACACACATCACACCACACCCGGCCATCAGCACTGATTAAAATCGCAAGACAAGTGAAAATAATTCCTTAATACTCCCCCCCCCCAATTGACATCAATTCACCAAGTCTAGAGTTATTTTTAAACTAACCAAATCTCCGAATTAATTATTATGATACAAAGTAGTTTTTATCAGTTTTCTGTGTCAACTATCCTGATTTTTATTTTACTAAGCGATCTCATACTTGGATGAAACGCTGATCGTCCAGTGCTAATTAGATTTTCAATGATTATGTTTCACTTAGGATCTCGCGTCAAGATTTCAATAAAAATTCATTAATCTACCTAATTCATATCAAGTATTTTGAAGTACAGATATTTTAACTATTCATCTAATCTATTCAAATCAACTTAAATTTCAAGACAATCATCGTTACCGACGTACTACTGTCCTCCCCTACAAGATTTTCCATCATCACTAAATATAGGAGGTCCAAATAATCTAAACAGTATTGATGAAAATCTAGTCACATTCATTCAATCAATCAATAGCAACGTATAACTTCGTACGTACGTACGTACGTACATCAGTTCATGTTGCCTTGACACATTAGCACAGAGATGTAATTGTCAATTCAAATCTCATAGTTGTAGAGATAGTAGAAGTATTAGAAGTAATCGGAGAGATTAAGGTTCGAAGATTTTATTCAAGAAGTATGTGATTCAGTGAGGTAAATTTAGAAAGAGAGAAAGATAGAGATGATGAGGAATTCAGGTTAGAATTTCAGAGTAAATGCACCCGCGTTATTGCAAACGGTTTTGAGACATGTCACTCAGGGTCTGTAACCATTGATTATTATCCTCTCACGGACCCCAACCAGGTAGTCGATACCTACTGACATGACTCAGTCCACATGTCAGTGACTTTATGGATTTCTTCCATGTTTTGGTCTGACCGCCTCTAGCTATCGTCCACCCTATTCCTTTATCGCAAAACATAGCTCAACGAGGCAATCGATGGTTAGGCATGCGGAACACATGTCCCAATCACCTCAACTGCATTGCATTACCTTATCTATTGACCTGCCATCCTTACCTAGCACCCGTTCCCTAACAACAGCATTGCTTACTCGGATGTCCCACGATACTTGAGCAATACTTCGGAGACATCTGTGATCGAAAACCAGTAACCTACGAATATCTGCTACTCTGATTGGCCATGTTTCATAGTCATATAGGACGGAGAGAACGACTGAGCGAAACACTCGTCCTTTGGTCAGACAATTAGGAGAACCATAAATTTCTTGTTGTTGAACAATGGAAAACAGCAAGACTTTTCATTTTAACGTCACTGAATTTAGTTACAGGCTACGTAGATAATGATCAGTCAGCTACAACGTATGACCTGGTACATACATACACCAGTTCAAGTTATCATACCTCATTAGCACAGAAAGACCGAATTGTCAATTCAAATCCCATAGTAGTAGAGATATATTTCCATCAAGTAGAAAGCAGACTCTGAAGTAGTCGGCTGTTAGTCTAAAGTTGATACGAACATGAGTAGGTTTTGGTTAAGATCCGGAAGAGTCATCCAAGTTATTGCAGGATCGGCAAAGCAAGGGCAGGATTTCTACAACTGAAGAATATTTGCAACTCAAAACAACTATCAACCAACACCAAAATCAGAATTTTCAATGCGAATATCAAGACAGTTCTACTGTTTGGGGCAGAAACCTGGTGAACCACGAAAGCCATCATCCAGAAGATACAAGTGTTTATTAACAGTTGTCTACGCAAAATACTTAGGATGCGTTGGCCAGATACCATCAGCAACAACCTACTGTTAGAGAGAACACCTGAGATCCCAGTGCAGGAAGAAATTAGGAAAGAGAACGCAGCGACAACTTGCAATCACCAAGGCCAAATCAAAAGAGGAAGACCAAGGAACACATTACACCGAGAGCTGGAAGCAGAGACGAAAAGAATAGTTAGCAATTGGATAGAACTGGAAAGGAAGGCCTGAGACAGAACAGGTTGGAGAATGCTTGTGGGTGGCCTTAGCTCCTTTGGGCGTAAAAGGCGTTTAAGTTAGTTGGCTAAAATCTAGGAATCAGACATCAACAGTGACTGAACACTCCAAAGACAGACTTTAAGATCCTCTAATTCAGTTAATTTCCTGGCGGTGCGTTTTCAGTAGTTTTCGACCGCGAAATAGGATGCAATAAACATACAATACGCAATTCCCCGAACTCAAATACCACTGAGATACAGGCACATCTGATTGCTGAGTCCGAAACACTAGCCCTGCGTGCCACTGTTGATACGTAACCCAACCTTTCTCAGACTCCGGTGGTAATTAATTTTCCCCATATTTCTGTCATTTGAAAGCAGCAGAATCACCATTCACACATCAGCTATGACCTATCTGGTGTGAGATTCGTTAAGAGATATTGACTTAGGGCTTCAGTAGTTGATATCATAAGGCTTAAAAACATATTTCGTGTACATCTCCAGAATGTGTGAAAGGAATCTCGTAAGCTGCAAAACACTGCGAGATGCGCTGGGATCCCCACGATATCGGAGTCAGGTAAGCGAACCCTAGTTCGAAAGGTCAAAACTATGTCGCTAGATTGTGATCAGAACAAGACGCATGTACTCGAGTGAAAACCAGTGCGTTCCAAATCCGATGCAGACATTAAGGGCAAGGCATTAGAGGATGCTGGTCGGCAGCCTGCGTTCCATTAGGGGTAACGAGTGTAAGCAATTAGAGGAAAATAGCTAAACGGTTTTGTATCGCTATAGCCGAGGTGGTCAAAACATGTATCCCTAACCGATATGATGTGACCGACCACCTTCCTTGGAGGATGCACTGCGGTCACCACACAACAGACAACCAAAGATATCGATGTTGCGGCTCAACTGAAGAGAAGCACAGAAAATGGTGACCACTGTTGGTCCTAAAGCGCCTAGTACTGCCTTAACACTTAGCACCACTGTGCGTGCAGATTACACCAAGCTCGCGATAAGCATCCACCTGAATATGACAAGTTGACATCATACTAAGAAAATCCCATACACAGCATTGACTCAATCTAGCCAGTCAGTCAGTCACAATGTCATTCAGAAAAATTACAAGTAATTATATGAGAAATATATTAGGGAAAAATTAACAATTAAAAACACATCAAAGGGATAGATGAAACCTAGTATTCTTCACCTTCCCCTTCACCTTCTCCATCAACACTGTCAACACCAACCTCTTCGTAATCTTTCTCCAAAGCAGCCAAATCTTCACGTGCCTCAGAGAATTCCCCTTCTTCCATACCTTCACCAACATACCAATGAACAAATGCACGTTTAGCATACATCAAATCAAATTTATGATCAAGACGAGCCCAAGCCTCGGCTATCGCGGTGGTATTGCTCAACATACATACAGCACGTTGCACTTTAGCCAAATCACCACCAGGTACAACAGTTGGCGGTTGATAGTTGATGCCCACTTTGAAACCAGTTGGACACCAATCCACAAATTGAATAGTACGTTTAGTTTTGATTGTAGCGATTGCAGCATTCACATCTTTAGGCACAACATCACCACGATACAACATACAACAGGCCATGTATTTGCCATGACGAGGATCACATTTCACCATTTGATTTGCTGGTTCAAAACAAGCATTTGTAATTTCAGCCACACTCAATTGTTCATGATAAGCTTTCTCAGCTGAAATGACTGGTGCATAAGTGGCCAATGGGAAGTGAATACGAGGATAAGGGACTAAATTAGTTTGGAATTCAGTTAAGTCCACATTCAATGCACCATCAAAACGTAGTGAAGCAGTAATTGAGCTGACAATTTGACCAATAAGACGATTTAGATTAGTGTAGGTTGGACGTTCAATATCCAGATTTCGTCTAAAAAAAAGAAGAAAACATTCGGCTAACTGGAAATAGCAACTTACCGACAAATATCATAAATCGCTTCATTATCAACCATAAAAGCACAATCAGAATGTTCCAATGTAGTGTGTGTTGTTAAAATCGAATTGTATGGTTCAACTACAGCTGTAGCAATTTGTGGTGCAGGATACACAGCAAATTCCAGCTTAGACTTTTTACCATAATCCACACTTAAACGTTCCATCAGTAGAGATGTAAATCCCGAGCCGGTACCACCACCGAATGAATGAAAAATCAAAAATCCTTGCAATCCAGTACATTGATCAGCTAATTTACGTATACGATCCAAAACTAAATCCACTATTTCTTTTCCAATAGTATAATGACCACGTGCATAATTATTAGCAGCATCTTCTTTACCAGTGATTAATTGTTCCGGATGAAATAATTGACGATAAGTTCCAGTTCGTACTTCATCTACAACAGTTGGTTCTAAATCCACAAACACCGCTCTTGGTACATGTTTTCCAGCACCTGTTTCACTGAAGAACGTATTGAATGAATCATCACCACCTCCAATAGTTTTATCACTTGGCATTTGTCCATCTGGTTGAATACCATGTTCTAAACAATACAATTCCCAACATGCATTGCCCATTTGAACACCAGCTTGACCAACATGTACACTGATACATTCACGCTAGAAAATGATATAATCTAGGAGGTATATTATAATTGCTTACCATTTTCGATTAAAGTTTAGAATGTGTAACTAATAGTAACAACACAGCGGTTGTAACGACTCGTACGACAATTTCAAATCAACTAAATCAACATGGCTGCCTTGTCGTTTATATAGTAGATTTAAATTTCATTGGCTAAATCTTATTGGTCGTTAAGGCGACTGATACTTTGTTCTGATTGGTTCATTGATTTTTGTTAGGTTGTTGTCAATGGTTGTTGTTTATTTCTAGAGAATTCTACTTTCTCTATCTCTCTCTCTTATCAGCCCAGACCATGATTATTATTAGTTCAGACTGAAATGACTAAGTTGGTCGTCTGATTGTAGGTTGATTGCCAATTTGTTTTGATGTGTATTTTGGTAAAATGAGGTAAAATCAAAAATCAAAATTTTCTTAATAAATTTAGTCACTATTTTCGGATGAATATCTAAATTAAACAATGAAGTAATTAACCTGAATGAAATTTTCATGTGTAATTTGAAGAAAATTATTGATAAATTAAGAAGAAGGGTTCAATCTGAAAATATTTGAACTTGACATGTGTTTTAATTAAACGTTCAAAGTTAAATGATGCTCCTTGGATCCTAAGGAAAAAAATTTTATGTTTTATTTCTATGGGAATGCGCTACTGTATTCGGAAGACTTGAAGACTTATCAATGTAAACCATGGCATAAATGTGTTATTAACCTAAAGTAAACAATGTTTTAATTTGTCACAGTTAGAGATAGATTTAAAGAGATGAAAATCAAAAGAGTTAGGATAGTAATAACTTACTTACTTACTTACTTACTTACGCCTGTTACCCAGTCAGTCAGTCAGTCAGTTGCAACGTAGAACTTCGTACATGTTACCATACCACATTAGCACAGAGACGTAAATGTGATAGAGATAGTAAAGTTATTAATGGTAATGAAGAAGACTAGGGTTTGAAGATATTATTCAAGAAGTATAATTCAGTGAGTGAGATAAGGTTAGAAAGACAAAACTAGATGTGTTGAAGAATCCAGAAGATTAGGATTTGAGAGAACACAAAGAATAAATGCACCGGCACCATTGCGAACGATTTTGAGCCATGTCATTCAAGGTCTCTAACCATCGATTATTATCATCTCGCGGACCCCAACCAGGTAGTCGACAATTACCAACACTGGACGGCCGTTTCGTCCTGGTATGGGACTCCTCGGTATTGTAGGCGAACGCCTAACCATCGGACCACTGAGCCAGTATCTAACGGTGTTAATGTCTAATTTCAATCAATTCACGGAGTTGCGCAACCTCATACACAGTCTTCGGTAGTAGTTACTGTCTACACCCGAACAGGTTGAACTTCACTGGTCACGTTTTCCAACTAGACGTAGCTTCTGTTACATTAATCAATTCATCCTGTTGTAGCTTAGCAATTAGGCATAATTCCTCGAGTAGTGGATCATCTGAACTGCTTCTCGGAGGCCTCTGTTTATCATCCAAGATATTAGTAGATGTTATTGATTAATGTCCTAACGGCTTCATAGATTGTATAATTCACACCAAACTTATTGCTACCAGTAATTCGGATGATGAAGTCACTAACAACTGGACTGAGCCATGTTGGCCAGTGTAGACTATCTGGTAAGGGTCCACGATATGATAGTAACTGATGGTCAGAGACTTGGAATGACTTGGCTCAAAATCGTTTGAAATGGCACAAATGTATCTATTCTTTGTTTCCTTTCAAACTATAGTCTTCTGAATTCCATATCACCTTTATCCTTCTCTTTTTGGCTTTATTTAGATGGGATATACTCCTGGAATCATATCTTCGGACCCTCTCCATTACAGCTAATACTTCTACTATTAATACTACTATGGGATTTGAATTGTCAATTCAACCTCTGTGTGCTAATGTGATATGGCGACTTGAACTGGTGTACGTATGTACGTACGTACGAAGTTCTACGGTGTAGCTGACTGAAATCTAATGGATTGAAAGAGCTTCCGGCTGTTACCAGATGCACCTGCTACTTCCAAATCGATCATATTGTTCGACCACCAGGTTTCTCGGTTCTAACTCAAATTTACAATATTTGGCTATCTAGCAGCCTTCTTTTATTCTCAAATTGGTGATTTCCCGGAGCAGATTGACGTGCCTCAGCGAGTAGTAAGAGGCCTATAGAAACCCAGTGCTTTTAGGCGGGACGTTTCGCGAATCCACAAGCGATTTCATTCGTCATTTTCATGGTGTCGTGCATTTGCAACCAGTGCTCATCTGTAATTTCGGGTAAGTCTGTAACTAGCCTTTAGCCTAATAAGGTTCGAAAGATTGTTATAACAGAAGCCACAACCAATTTACTGATATCAATCAAAGTAGCACATCGACGATAACTGTGCCAATAGTTATTGCCAGACAGAAATAGGTTTTAGGTTGTGCAACGTTGCAGCAGAAGATGGCCATTATCTGGCCTACGACCAACAGGTCCCCGCACGGATGACCCTCGGTGCCTAGACGCCCGACCTGAGCATTTTAGCCTCTTGCAAGTATTACGATATCTGTCTTAACTGATAGAATAACTCATCCTTGATTGCATATGAATTGCATTCTCTTGTGGCGTAGGTGGAGATAACGAAAGGGCATCGTTTCTCACACTGATTTCTTCTCACTTTGGTGGGGTTTTTAATCTAACAACACATAAGTGACTTTTACTGGGGATCCAGTAGATTGGTGCTACCTCAGCTCTAGTGTTTAGTGTGAAACTAACGTCAGTTAGTGCGGTATGGCAACTAGAATTGATTTACGTACGTACGAAGTTCTAAGTCATAGCTGGCAACTCTAGCTAAACCAGACGAAAATGCTACAAGATGCCTGAATAGACTTTATCCACTCTCAGCTGTACCAAGTCATTTTGGAGCTATTTCAGTACATGTACCCGACGAAGCTAGTGCAATGTAGGAAGAACTAAAAATAGGTCAACATGGGATTTTTATCGAATAACCCGAAGCATCTAGTTCACTTACCGTTATTCCCACTTTCGTTGTAATGAATCTGATTATGTTTAAAAGACTATGCCTACTACTTTTTATATAAGTAGTATGTATAAGTAATACGAAAAAACCGGTTTTTGTTCACTAGTCATTTGAATAGGATGGGTGAAAATATTGTGAATAGTTTAGTTTGAAAAAAAATATTTTGTTAATTTGGTCACCTATTAAGTCCGCTATCGATAATTGAATGACAGATGTATTCATTGGACCTTAACAAATTAACTACCATTCTAATAATCTCAATAAAATGTATCGGATGACTGGTTTCAATCTCTTTGTAAATTTATTTCGTTAGGATATACTTCTCGAATTATATCTTCGATCCTTAATCCTTCTGACTACCATTAGTATTTCTACTACTATGAGAATTGAATTTACAATTCAGTATCTGTGTACTAATATGGTATGGCAACTTGAATTGGTCTACGTATGTACGACGTTCAACGTTGTAGTTGACTGAATGATCGGTAGAGCCTTGTTGGATAAAGTATTACTTTGATCACCTAGAAGCTACTGATTAAAATTATGAGTATTATTGTGTAGCTTTATACCGTTTATCAAACTGATCATTATTACAGTATAAAACTTTAAACTGGAATCATGAATGTATCATTGTTAGACCACTATCACAAGAAACTTGTAAGCACTGAGAGACAGCCGTTTCACCCTGGTATGGGACTCATCAGCAGCGCATAACCACGACTCCTGCTACTCACAGGATTCGAATCTAGGACCTTCGGTACTGCACTCGAACGCCTAACTTCTGGGCCATTGAGTGAGCATTCAACGGTGTTAATGTCTAACTCTGATCCATTTAAGAATTAAAAGCAATATGTTCGAAAACATGAAATGGTTGTGTGATCTTTGACATTATATCTAATTGATCACAAATTAAAAATCAATACCGTAATGTTTTCAATTAAACTAATGACATCGACTATTTTGAGAAGAGTCATTGGCCTTTGATCGGTCAATTTTTTTATCTAAGAGTAATCAGTATTCTTTAGTAAAGACTTATTCTTATTAATCAAAACTGCTGGTTACAGAGCTTCACTTGAATTCGTTGAATTTGATTGATGATGTAAGAAAGTTAAAAATTTTCATGCTATCTGTTCGTAGTTTCAATTTCCAGATTCTATGAATTTGAAGTTTACATGATAACCGATTGTTGTTGGTTAATATTATACTTATTGGGTGTAAGTGTATTTTGTGCCGTTACTGGGTCATTGACTCACCACTTCTTTTGTTCTCCTCTTTTCCAGATCTCTCTCCACCTATGCCCCCTTCCACGGTGTGTGTAGCCAGGAAGTGACATCCTCCCTCATTCGCGTAACAATACATAAGACCAAATTAGTCACAGTCAAATCCTTCCTACATCTCTTAATAACCCTCTTATCTTCATGGTCAACCATTCTTTCATCCCTTTATCATTTTTCGTGGCTGATGCGAACGTTTCGAGTTGACGAAATGACATGGCTTAAAATCGTTTGCAATAGCGCAGGTGCCATTCATTCGTTGTCTTCTCTCAAATCCTAATCTTTTGAATTCCTCATCACCTTTATTTGTCTCTTTTTAAGTTTATTTCATTAGATTCTACTTTTTGAATATTATCTTCGAACTCTAATCTTCTCCATTACCGGTAATACTTCTACTATCTCTACCACTATGGGATTTGAATTGACACTTGCATCTCTGTGCTAACGTGGTATGACAACCTGAACTGACGTACTTACATACTAAGTTCTACGTTGTAACTAACTGACTGACTGACTGACTGAGAATGAACAGCGATTGGGTAGAACTATAAAAGAATGCTCAAGACCGAGTAGGTTGGAGAATGCTGATCGGAGGCCTATCCTTCAATGGGAGTAACAGGCGTTGGTAAGTAAGTAAGTAATTTATTGAATAGAAATGATAGAATGAAGAAATATTATTCTT